CGGCTGCGGTCGCCACTACGACCCCTCTGACCGTGACTGCAGCTGCGGTACACCCGCAGCAGCGCTCGCGCCACGCCGGTCGTGGCCGCCAGGGAGGGCGTGGTGGTGGAGCTGGTGGTAGTAGTGGTGGTACCGGGGACAATGGTTCTACTGAGGGGACTGCCTCAGCTAGTCAGGAGCAGCAGCCGTCGCCCCAGCAGCAGGAGCAGCCGCAGCAGCCATCGCAGTCGTCGCAGCAGCTGTCCCAGCCCCAGCTGTGGGCTCGTCTCCCCCCGGGTTGGCCCGGCACCTCCGTAGGTGGTGGCCGTGGTGGCGGCCCGCGCAGCTTGGCATCTACCGGCAGCTCCGTTGGTGTGACCTGCCACTACCAGCTTCAGACCGGGCCTCTCCGCGGCACTCTGTGCCGCCGCCCGCACCCAACCGCCCGCTGTTTCCGCCGCCTCGACGATCTCTTTCGTTGTCGCTTTGGCCCGGCCCCGGACCTCCCCGACTAGCACAGCCTGCTTCGCCAGGGCGTGCCGATCTTTGATTTAGATATGGATCAAATAGGTGCTGCTTTGCATGCCTTGTATGCTGACGCTTCTAGTGTTGCTGGATCTTATTACCCTGTGTACTCTATTTTAGGCGTAGCACCCTTGTGTAGCTTAGCCTCCCCTGCTGCGTCAGGCGTAGGACTGCCTAGTTTGCCTAGCCTAGTTTCTGCACTGGCTCCCTTCCTGGCCTCCGCTACTGCCTCGCTGTCCTTCACTCTCAAATCCGGTGCTTCTGCCTGTTTCTTCCGCGACCGCTCCACGCTCACGCCGCTTGATGCGCCTGCTGTTGTCGCTCTCACTGACCCCTCCGCGGGTCCTGTCGTCGCTCGCAGCTCCACTTCCCTTCTCTGTCCAGCCGTTCCCTCAGGCTCTCTTACAGGCCTCCACGTTCCCTCGTTCTCCAGGAACCTGGTTGGTGTCGGCCGTCTTCAGGACCTCGGTGTCACCACTACGTTCCGTGGGCACGAGTGGTTCGTTGTCTGTACCCAGGCAGTCTCAGGTTCCCCCCTTGCGACGTTCCCCCTGGACCCGATGTCCGGTCTGTTTACCCTCGACACCGCGGTTGGTGCGTCCTCCCAAGTCGCTGCAGGTTGCTCGTATCGGTCCCTCACACACCCGTCCCTTCTGTGGCACCACCGCTTAGGTCACCCTGCTCTCCCGTGCCTGCGTCACATGTCTCAGCACGGTCTTGTCTTAGGCCTCCTCGCATCGCTCCCCGCCCTTCCCCCCTCGACTGCGCCACCGTGCACGCCTTGCGTCGAGGGCCGGCTCTGCCGTGCCCCTGACTCCTCCTCGCTTCGCCCTGCTACTGCTCCCCTTCAGACCCTGCATCTGGACGTTTGGGGCCCAGCCCCCGTCCCCGGACCGCGCGGTGAGCGCTACTTTCTTGTGCTCGTCGACGACTACACGCGCTACACCATCGTGTTTCCCCTGGAGCGGAAGGCCGACGTGCTCGACGTTCTTCTCCCGTGGGTTGTGGCTGCGTGTCTTCACCGCGGTCTCCCTGTGTTGTGTCTCCACTCTGACCGTGGCGGCGAGTTTGCCTCTGGTCGGCTTGGACAGTTCTGTCGTGCGGAGGGCATCACCCAGTCGTACACCTTGCTGGACTCACCACAGCAGAATGGGGTTGCTGAGCGCCGCATCGGCTTGGTCATGGAGGTTGCTCGTACCTCAGTGATTCATGCTGATGCCCCCTATTTTATGTGGCCGCTCGCTGTCCGCTACGCTGCTCACGAGCTTAACTTGTGGCCACGCTCCCAGCGGCCGCAGGTTTCGCCGACCCTCCTTTGGACCGGGTCCCCCGGTGACGCGTCTGCGTTCCACGTCTGGGGCTGCCTTGCTCACGTTCGTGCCTCTGGCACGGACAAGCTCATTGCCCACACTGTCCCCTGTGTCTTCCTCGGTTTCCCCCTGGACTCGTCTGAGTGGCTGTTCTACCACCCGCAGTCTCACAACTTCCTTCACTCTCGTGACGTCACTTTTGATGAGTCTGTCTCCTACCGTGGCTTCCCTCATCGGGGTCTCCCGGTTACCCCCCCCTTGTTCCTTGCTCCCTCTCTCCCGGTAGCCCCTGCTCCCCTCCCGCCTCGTCCGGCCCCGTCTGGTGTCTCCCATGTCACTCCCCTCTCGTCGGTTGTCCCCGTTGAGGAGTCTGCTGACTCTGGTGGTCCCCCCGGCCCGTCCTTGCCGCGTCCCCCTTCCCCGGTGTCTCCGCCTCCGCTGTCGCAGCCGCCGCCGTCGCCGCCGCCGCTGCCGTCGCAGCCGCCGTCGCTGTCGCCGCCGCCGCCGCCGCCGCCACCGCCGCTGCCGCTCTTGGCCTCTGGGGGTGCTGGCGTTGAGGAGGGTGTTCGTCCTGCAGACCCTGGCGTGGTCTGCCTGGCGGGCCTGGGGGTGCCACCAGTGCTGGAGGGGGTTCTCGCTCTGGGGGTGTTGGTTCTGGGGGTGCTGCTGTTGAGTGTTCTCCCAGCGGCCGTCGTGCCCCTGCCGGTCCGCGGGTCGAGCACCAGCCGCCGCAGCAGCCGCCGCACCCGTCGCCGCCGGTCTCCGCTCTTCGCCTGCTCGGCCTTCCCTCCCCCGACCGCTCGCCGGTGTCTCCCCCACCACCTTCTCACCTTCCTGTCTCCGGCCCTGTGTTCCCACCGCCGGACTCGTCTCTGGCCCGTCTTCCTCCTCGTTCCCCTTTTGTGTCCCCTCCGCTGTCTCTTGACCCTACACCTCCGTCCCACGTTTAGTCCCGCCGTCCCTCCCGTGCTCGTCCCGTCTCTCCTGTCCTGCGCTCCCACCCTATGTTGCTCCGTTCCCACTCGTCTCGTCCTCCCCTCCTCCCGTCGCCTCCTCCCTCGTCGCTTGTTGTTGCACCTCCCCCTCTGTCTAACTACCTCCGTGCCGCTCGTCCCCTTGTCCCTCGGGTTCTTGCCTCTCTTGTTACAGACCTGTCTGTTCCTGTCTCGCGCATTGACGCGCTTGTCGCGGCTGTCGCTGACTTCGCCTCTACCTGCCGCCTTGACTACGCTACCGCTCTGGTCTCTGACCCTGCCCGTCCTCCGTCCGTCGGGGGTGCACCTGCCCTTGGCAGTGACGTTCTAGAGGACCGGCAGTACGAGCTTGCTTTCCTTCCCGAGGCCGCTCCCCATCTCTGCTCCATGCTCCTAGTCCCAGAGGGTGACCCAGACGCCTTCGACATCCCGACCCCTCGCACTTACGCTGAGGCCACCTTGGGACCTTGGGCCTCTCAGTGGATAGCTGCCATGGAGCAGGAGATGGCATCTTGGAGGTCCACCGGCACTTACGTCGACGCAGTTCCCCCGCCAGGGGTGAACGTAGTCGATGGTCGGTGGCTCTTCAAGGTGAAGCGCCCCCCTGGAGAGCCACCTGTCTTCAAGGCGCGCTACGAGGCCAGCGGCTTCAACCAGCGCGAGGGGGTTGACTTATTCCAGACCTTCTCCCCGACCCCGAAGATGACCACTCTTCGGGCGCTGCTACACGTAGCAGCACAGCGCGACTACGAGCTTCACTCCCTCGACTTCTCTACTGCATTTCTTCAGGGCAGCCCACACGAGCAGATCTACCTGCGCCGACCACAGGGCTTCAATGGTACCTTCCCCCCTGGGAACCAGTAGCTTCTCAGGCACCCGGTCTACGGCCTGCGCCTGGCTCCCCGCGAGTGGCACGACACACTGCGTGCCACGCTAGCAGACGTGCAGTTCTTTCCGTCCTCTGCTGACCCCTCGCTGTTTGTGCATTCCCGCCAGACTCCGTTCTACATCCTTGTCTACGTAGACGACCTGGTCTTCGCTACCGTTGACGGGGACGCACTGGCCTCCGTGAAGGCCGAGCTGCTGAAGAGACACACCTGCACTGACCTTGGAGAGTTGTGTCGTTATCTTGGCCTGCAGATCTCTAAGGGCAGAGCAGCACGCACCATCACTCTGACACAATCACACTTGGTGCGTCAGGTCCTTCAGAGGTTCGGTCTTCAGTTCTCATCCGCACAGCCCACACCTCTACCTGTAGACCATGGGCTCTCCGCTCCCGTTCCTGAGGAGCCAATAGAGCCTAGTGGCCCCTACGCAGAGCTGGTGGGTTGCCTCATGTACCTGATGACTTGCACTCGCCCAGATCTTGTATACCCTCTCAGCATCCTGGCTCGCTTTGTGGCCACTTGCAGACACCGACCACAGCACTGGTCTGCCGCTAAGAGGGTTTTGCGATATCTAGCAAGTACATCAGGCATGGGGTTAGTGTTAGGAGGACGCAGGCCGGTGGTCTTCACTGGGCACACAGACGCTTCTTGGGCCGACGACTCTGAGACACTCAGGCCGTCGCAGGGCTACTGTTTTAGCCTTGGTTCGGGTGCTATCTCTTGGAGATCCACTCGCTCGTCGTCTGTTGCTCAGTCCAGCTGTGAGGCTGAGATCTACGCCGGTGCCATGGCGGTACAGGAGCTCCGCTGGCTTACCTTCTTGCTCACAGACTTAGGTGAGCGGCCTAGCTCTGCCCCGGTCCTGTACGCTGACAACAGGGCCATGATTCTCCTGTGTCAGGAGCCTCGGCTTGAGGGCAGAGCGAAGCATATCCAGCTGCGGTACTTCCTCCTGCGCGAGCTACAGCAGCGTCGCCAGGCCCACGTAGTTCACTTGGCCTCAGGTGCCAACACAGCTGATATCTTTACTAAGGCGCTTGCGCCTAAAGATCATCAGCGGCACTGTGTACAGCCTGGTCTTGTTCCTGTAGCTACTCACCTGTTAGGACCCTGATTGTGTACTCTCTATTATATATACCTGTCTAACTGGCCTTGTGGCCTTACCTCCAGTAGCTGGACTAATAGTGCCACCCTGGCTTGCTTTAGTCTTGCTTGTACTCTTGCTGACTGGTCTCAGGACCCCTACCTCAGTGGTTGGACTAGTAGTGCCACCCTGAGATGTGTGCTTCTTGCTTAGCACCACTCCTTCTCTAGCCTAGGGTGTGTGTCAACTTATACATATGCTGTATGTAGAAGTTATAGGCTAGCCTAGGTGTGTGCTTCTAGTGAGCACAACCCCAACAAGTACATGTTCTAGGTTTCTCACACTAGTCAATCATTCTCTCTTTCTAACAACATCACCCTTCCCCCCATCGTGTGAGAGTGTCATCAGAGTAGTTGAGTTGCCGGCGGTGCCTCACAATGTCAGACTCGTACCCCCTGCCGCCTCCGCAATTCCACGACCCTGCGAGGAACACATCGGCATGCGCACACACCAGCTTGTCCAGTATTCCCACAATGCCTGCACGCGAGAGAGGGGGGACGGGGATGGGATGGGAGTGGCGCTGAGAGGAGGCCGAGGAGCTGTTTGCATGTGACCTTATGCGACGCCACCACTATGCAGCGGAGCATACACTGAACCTGGTCCAAGGACAACCCTGAGGGACCACCATGGCTTAACCACAACTACACAGTGTATTCACCATGGCCTCTCCACAGGGAAGAGTGTGAGTGTGAAGGTTTTGGGAGACGCGGCTTGAACAAGCTGTGAGAAGCTCTTGGCTACAAGGGGGCAAGATTGAGGAGTCCATTTTTGAGGCGCCTAAAAAATAGACTCCTCACGCAAGATTGCAAAGCAGCTTACTAGTAACAATCAAGGGAGCACTCGGCTTGTTGCAGTTTGGATCCATATTACTCCCAGCGAGTAGCTTCTTCAGCAAATCAAGCACTTTCCTTTCCCATTGTGATGCAAAATGCATCGGACTTCATGCGCTGTTGCGAGCACGCACCGATACCCCCAGAGTCCATTGGGCTAAACTTTGGGCTTCCAAATGTACATTTTGGAGTCGACTCAAAAATCACCTTTCCATACCCATTTTGGTTGTCGTAGAATGTGCCTCGGAATCTTGCCGCACCCAGGAAATGAGTTGTCCATGACGCTCCCCCTGCACTAACCCCCCCCCCCCCCTGGCCGGCCCCCTAGCGGTGCACGAGGCCTAAACCCTGATGGGGCGGACGGCCAACACTCCCAGCCCCACACGGCAGCCCTGAGTGTTGGTGACACCTGAGAGGGGATGGCCACCATCCCCAGCCTAGAGACGACACCCCATAGGAGCCCGGCCATGGCCCCTGTAGAGTGTCGTAGGTGCACTTCGGCCTTGCTCAGTGCATGGCCTTGCTCAGTGCATGGCCTTACCCCGACCCTTTTCGACCACATGATCCCTACAATGTTTGCGTGGTGTGACGTGCCCACCTTATATTCAACAATTACCGTTCAGTGCCCTAAGTAACATCGAGGTGCTAACGCACAACCACTTCCCTATCGAGCACCATCGCTTCTCTATCAAGCACCCACTCCCTGTATGGCACTCCTTCCCCTTTGCTCCCTGCAAAGGGGTTCGCTTCGTTCGACTCCATCACTGAGAAGCCGGCACTCAGCGGGCTCATGTGCCCGGTCCCCAGCCTACTCCAAGTCCGCGGGGCCTCGTCTTCGCGCCTTCCCCAGGATGGGATCCTCCCAGAGGGACTCTCCCTTGCTGCCCACGGCGTCCGGGTGCTGGGAGGCCATTGGGACTCCGGCCTTTTGCTCGGGGTACATCCGCAGCACTCTCGTTGACTCGGTTGCTCCCCTCGGCCCCCTCCCCCGGCTCGCTCTCTCTCCTGCGGCTCTCTCACTGCGTCAGCCGCCGGGTGAAGTTCCTTAAACGCACCTTCCCAGTGCATGCCCCACCAGTCCCCCAGTAGCCTGATTGGAGCTTGCAATGGCTCTCAGACACCATCGCCGCCCTCCTCCCACCCGTGTCACCCACTCTGGCACCATCAGGGACCTCGAAGCCTGCCGCTCTGACAGGCGTCGGCAGTCCCTCCTAGAGAACCACGTGGGCCGTTCCAAAGCATCAAGACCACCTGTAGCGCCGCCTCTCGCTGGAAGGTCACGCCTGCAGCGCCGGCACCCTGCTCAAGGTGAGGACGCTAGAGGCGTTGTCTACCATGGCCTGCCAAGATGGCTCGTGCAACGCCCACGTGGCGATCCACCTGGGGAACGCCATGTGCTCACCTCGTAATGACCCCAAGAAGGTGGGCGTCATTGCACTCAGGAGGACCAGAGAGACACAGGACTCAGGATATACGAGGATAACAGAAGTGGGGTTCAAGGGAAATCAAGGTCGTAACATGTACTCAGACGGATGAGCTCGCAAGTGGCCGGTTTCATATCCTAGCCCTGCCAGACATTTCCTAGGGATGGCCGTGGCAGCTAGCTAGGATGTGTGCCTTCCGCCGGACATTTCCTAGGCATGGCCGTGGCAGCTAGCCGGACATGAAAAGATGGGACTATTCAATGCATGCTTTGTTCAGCCGCACCTACCATGTGCACCTTGTACCAAGGTTCTCTGCAATACAAGGACCTCTACGCCACTTCGGAGGAGGACGACCCCTAGTTGGGGATGCAGGGGAGGGGTGAAAGGCTGCGGGAGGGGAAGACCAGGGCTGAGGCCTTATGATAGGTTCTGGCTAGACTCCATAGGCTTGGGGCCAGTTGCGATTTTCTGGTATTGTCTCTTTGCTGCATTTCCTTGTTCTCTTTGCTCCTCGCTGCCCCTTGTTTGGCATGTACTCAGATCTTATTCAATGGCCAGGACCGCTTGAGAGAGATAGGGAGATCCACCCCCTGCCCCCTGCCTGGTCCGCGTCCCAGCCCCCTGCCCCCCTCCTGCCGCCTTGCATCCCCTTCTGTGGCGCTGGCCTTCGGGTTTTTGGCAGCCACATCAGGGCCCCCCGAGGCAGCGGCCCGCTTCCTCCGGGACCAGCTCGCCGACATGGCCAAGCCGCATCCCACCCTGGCAACCATGGTTCCGCAGTCGCCCTCCCTCCTCCACCACTGCATCTCGCGGCGGGTGTCTTGCCTCACCCGCACCATGCCGCTGAACCTGCTCCCAGCAGAAGAATGGTCCCAGTGGGGGCAGGGGAACTTCCACACCCTCTCCACTCCTGCAATCTCCAGCTCCCACGGGGAAAAAGGGAGCTGGTGTGCACGTGGCATCAACCATCACTCCCGCCCTCCCTTGGCGGACTTGGCCTGGCGGACCCAGCAGTGGACGGACCCCATGCCTTCCCCACCAGCGTGGCCCAAGCCCACAGGCTCCTGGCATCCCTGCCCTCAGCTTTCACCGGACCCCTGGCAGCAGCCGCAGGCTCCCTTGCCCCCCCTTCACCAGCCCTACCCCACTACATACCTGGCTGGCGGAGTGTGAGGCGGCCCTCCCAGCTCCCGCCTTGGAGCTCCTGCAGGCCGAGCGCTTGGAGCCCCCAGACGCTCTACTCCAGCACCGTATCGCTCTGGAGGTCCATGCTGCTCGCTTCGCCGACCAAGTGGCAGCCACCGCGGAGATGGAGCTTAACCCTCTCAGCGGCCATACCCAGACACTCCTCTCCCTAACAGGGTGCAGGTGGGGGGACTGTCTCCTCGCGATCCCCCTCTTCCCCTCCCTACGGCTCGCACCCCCTCACTTTGCCATAGCCCTGGCCTTCCGCCTCGGCCTCCCATTCCCCACGCCAAAGGCATGCAACTGCGCCAAAAGGGTGGGGATCCTGGACCCCAGGTTCCCAACACCCACAACGCCCTCCGCGACGAGTGCATCTGCATGGCCCGGGATGCACAGCTCATCGTCACGATGAACACAGCAATACACAACCAAACGTAAGCTAGTTTTGAGGCGCCTCAAAACTAGTCCCGGTCACAAGGAAAACCGCCGACCTGGCCATCCGGGACCAGGACTCCAGGGCAGTCTGGATCTGTGATATTACCGTCACCAACTCAGTCGGCTCCCGAGACCCGCTAGCCTGCAAGGGCCGAGGCTACCTGGCCAGGGAACAGGCGGACAAGAAGATACAGGCCATATGGGACTGGTGCAACGACGACAGTCGCAAACTTTTCGCAGATGCAATTATTCCGTAGGTACAACACCCACGTACGCAACCCAGCCAATGAAAACAGGTGCACACAGCATCTGAAAATTTTGTCGCCACCAGTCGGAATCGTGAGATCCACATCAATGCGCTCCTGAGTGGCTGACGCCAAATTGAGATCCCAATGTGCCAGAAACTCCAGAAAATCTCACAGCAATGCGATCCACACATACGGGCTAATGCGGAAACAACAGAAGGCAACGAATTCACCACGCGGAAGGCGACGAACTCACCACGCAGAAGGCAACGAAGTCACCACGCAGAAGGCAACGAGCTCACCACGCGGAAGGCGACGAACTCACCACGCGAAAGGCGACGAACTCTCCACGCGGAAGGCAACGAACTCACCATTCGGAAGGCAACAAACTCACCACGCGGAAGGCGACGAACTCACCATACGGAAGGCAGCGAACTCACCACGCGGAAGGCAACGAACTCACCACGCGGAAGGCGACGAACTCACCGCGCGGAAGGCGACGAACTCACCACTCGGAAGACAACGAACTCACTACACGGAAGGCGACGAGCTCGTTACGTGGAAGGCAGCGAACACACCACGCGGAAGGCGACGAACACACCATGCGGAAGGCAACGAACTCACCACGCGGAAGGCAGCAAACTCACCACGCGGAAGGCAACGAACTCACCACGCGGAAGGCGACGAGCTCACCACGCGGAAGGCGACCAGCTCACCACGCGGAAGGCGACGAGCTCACCACACGGAATGTGACGAACTCACCACGTGGAAGGCAGCGAACTCACCACGCGGAAGGCGACGAACTCACCGCGCGGAAGGCAGTGAACACACCACGCGGAAGGCAACGAATTCACCACGTGGAAGGCGACGAACTCACCACGCAGAAGGCAACGAATTCACCACGCGGAAGGCGACGAACTCACCACGCAGAAGGCAACGAAGTCACCACGCAGAAGGCAACGAGCTCACCACGCGGAAGGCAACGAACTCACCACGCGAAAGGCGACGAACTCTCCACGCGGAAGGCAACGAACTCACCATTCGGAAGGCAACAAACTCACCACGCGGAAGGCGACGAACTCACCACGCGGAAGGCAGCGAACTCACCACGCGGAAGGCGACGAACTCACCACGCGGAAGACAACAAACTCACCACGCGGAAGGCGATGAGCTCGTTACGCGGAAGGCAGCGAACACAGCACGCGGAAGGCGACGAACACACCACGCGGAAGGCAACGAACTCACCATGCAGAAGGCAACGAACTCACCACGCGGAAGGCTATGAACTCACCACGCGGAAGGCGACGAACTCACCACGCGGAAGGCAGCGAGCTCACCACGCAGGAGGCGACGAGCTCACCACGCGGAAGGCGACGAACTCACCACGCGGAAGGCAACGAACTCACCACGCGGAAGGCAACGAACTCACCACGCGGAAGGCGACGAACTCACCTCGCGGAAGGCAACGAACTCACCACGCGGAAGGCGACCAACTCACCACGCGGAAGGCGAAGGCAACGAACTCACCACGCAGAAGGCAGCGAACTCACCACGTGGAAGGCAATGAGCTCACCACGCGGAAGGCGACGAGCTCACCACGCGGAAGGCGACAAGCTCACCACGCGGAAAGCGACGAGCTCACCACGCGGAAGGCGATGAGCTCACCACGCGGAAGGCGACGAGCTCACCACGCGGAAGGCGACGAGCTCACCACGCGGAAGGCGACGAGCTCACCACGCGGAAGGCGACGAGCTCACCACGCGGAAGGCGACGAGCTCACCACGCGGAAGGCGACGAGCTCACGACGCGGAAGGCGACAAGCTCACCACGCGGAAGGCGACGAGCTCACCACGCGGAAGGCAGCGAGCTCACCACTAGGCAGTGCACACGAATCCTCGTCTCATCCTCCGCTCTTGGGGCTAGCACCACCTCTTGCGGCTTTAGTGTCCTGGGCAGCCACTTCCCTGCTCCTCCATCCGCTGTCTGAATTCTAACCCCTTCAGGCGTCACATTCTCCTCGCAGTGCAATCCCAGCCGCTCTGCCAAGCGCCTTCCCACCAGCACTTGAGAGGCCCCGGTGTCGATAATCGTGGTCCTAGGGTATTTTTTTCCTTCCACCGCGACCGCTCCCTCTATGGCTTCCACCACGCATGGCTTCGCCGCCATCCGCTCAAATGGATGACGGTGAGGGCCATGCCTGCCCCCTGCAGGAGCCCCGGCTTCGGCTCCTGTTGCTCCCGCCGGCCCTGGGGCCGGACTTACTCTTGCCCTCGGCCCTCGCCGTCCCTGCGGTACTTCACGTCGGCTGTCGACCCCTCCGCTGCGCAGGCCCAGCTCCTCTATATCCCGCCCCCCCCCAGAGGCCATAAAGAACGGCTCACCCTTCTTCTCTTTGTCTCCTTCCCACGATCGGGCTAGCATCGCCGACCGGTCCTCCTCCTCATCGCTCTCTTCCTCCTCTGCCCTCAACTTCCTCAGTTCTTCCTCCAGGGCCTCGATTCAGCCTTTCCGACCTCCTCAGCTCCGATCTTCTCGCTGCTTCGTGTAGTAGTTATCCGCTGAGTGCCCCTTCCTCTGACAATAGGAGCAGGACTGCAGCTTGGGGCAGTCCCTTTTGAAATGCCCAGGCTCCCGGCACTTGCAACACACCGGTTCCTCGCTCGGGGGAGGGGTCACCATCCGGGCTCGCTACGGTTTTCCCTTGTATCCCCTACTTTCCATCATTTCCTCCTCTCCCTCACTCCCAGCCAGCATCGCTCCTCCCCAGCTGACTCCCTTGCGGTCTCGCTCCCTCCCCCCAGTACGCTCCGACCTTCTCCCAAGGTCGTACAGACTCAGCAAACGCTCGTTCCGCCATGCGATCTCGTACGCCTGCCGCAGAGTCGCATTCGGTCCCAGGTTGTAGGTGTGGTCCCTCGCCGTTCGAGCCAGATCCCCTGACAGCCCTTCCAAAAATTTCGCCACCACTATCCGTGGTTCGTTGCAGCTGATATCTTCCGCTAGCTGATCCACTCGGCGATAGTAAGCCAATAAGGATTCTCTGGGGGCCCTCCGCAATTGCTCGAACTCTCTCAGCTTTGCTGGAGTCTGCGTGGGGAAGTGCACCTGGAGCTCCTCCAGGAACTTCTCTGTCGAATCCTTCAGCCTTAGCACTCGGCCCTCAGCGTCTCGTCGGACCCTTCCCAAAACGCCCCGGTCCTCTTCCTACAGCAGTAGGTCACGTACTTCCAAAAAGAACGCCTCTGCATCACCCGCCAACGTGTTGCCCAGCGACCGGAAGAAATGCCTGAGATCCAGGCCATCTTGCTCCCAACAAAACTTCTCGCTGCGCACGTGCATCGCGTAAGTTTTTAGGCGAGGGCCCGACTCCTGATCCCCCGTGAAGCGAGCGGGTACCTCCACCTTCAGCAGACTCGTGTAACGATATCCGGTTCCCTCCTCCCACAACGACTGACGCAATCCCTGCCAGCGGTGAACTGCCCGGCCCCGGCAAAGTTCCCAGCGCCCACTCCACCGCTCCCCACTGATCCACCCAGCGCTGTCGGTTCACCGTCTCCTCGTCCTGCGTCCCCGGGCGCGCGCGCCGCCGACGCCTCTCTCGCCGTCGCGGGGAACTCTCCCCCCGTTCGACGATCCGCGCGCATCGCGAAACCACTGGAATCACGACGCTCCTGCTCTTGATTCTCCCCTTCAGCGCTCGGCTCCTCGCGCGTCTCCTCACGCTCCGCCGTTGGCGACTCGGGAGCCTGACTTCCTTCGGCTGACAGGTCTTTATCTTCCCCTCTCAGCGAATCGTCTCCTCCTTGCAGTCGGGTGCCACTCCTAAGGGACATCCCGCCCATAAGACTCTGTTTGTATAAGAAAGCCTGAGGCGAGATCTAACAACCAGAGATCTGCTCGCTACCCCTCAGTTTGGTCTCCCTTCATGGATCTGGCTTAGCTCACGAATGCATTCACTAGCAAGAGCTATACAACCTTCCCAGAATTGCGAGAGAACAAACAGAGTAGCTACCAAACGTCGGGCAAGCTGTTTTGAGCTACTCCTAGCAATTGCATTCCTGAGCTCAGGCCCTTCCCTCCCTCGTTCTCAGCCTCTCGCCAACACCGAAGATTTCTCCTCCGCGCTGGCTCCCTGAATCCGACCACCGAACCTGCCTCACTCTTCTGCATGTCAGACCTGTCGAGCCGCTCCTGCCCCAGCTGAGCTGGATACCCTCGTCCATGCGCTGCCACCAGCTGTCTCGCCCGCTCAATCCCATGCACCTTTCGACCCATCACTGTACTCCCCGCATTTCTCCACATAGCGGTCCCCGTTACATACTCTCCCTAACTTTTCTACACCTCATCCCTTCAGCGCTGTCCCATATATCCCATGACACTTTTCCGTTCATGTGATTTATGCGACAGGGACGCCACCAGGCTGCTCCTCAGGGGGTGGAAGCAGGGGGCACACAGCAAGTAGCATGTGAGACAAGGGTAGAGTGGACGGAGCGGAAGGGAGGAAACCAGTGAGAAAGCACCACGAAGCAACGAAATGTATGCAGGAAGGGGAGAAGCGGGAAGCGCCAGGGGTTGGATCTGGTGGGCTCTGTGGTCCTAGTGGGTTGCTGGCATGTGCGATGTGCGGTGCTGGAACAGGATCGGATCGGATAGCATGTACAGGGGGGAGAGGTAACCCGGCTGTGGGGGGAGGGTTAACCAGGTGATGATGTGCGAGGAATGTCCTGAGGGAACGATGGCAGGTGAGATGCGATAGGAGCTGAAAGAGGGACCCGAGGGAGCTTGAGGAGAGGATGACAGGCGGTGGAATTAGTGGCAGGGGACAGAAAGCAGGCCAGGCTAGATGGGATGCAGACTCGAGGATTTGAGCCGGCTGGAGTTCGCATGGCTCGCATGGCATGGTGCGTACGGAGGATGGAACACGCATGGCTCGTACAGAGAGAGAGGAGAACGGCATGCGAGGCACAGGCCAGCACTCCTCCGGCCAATCGCCACATGCTAACGTGGCACTGCTGCTCCTGTCCAGCAGCGTCGTTTCCACGTGCTTGCATGGCGCGCACGCGGGTCAATCCCTGCGCTGATGTTAGCCAGGCTCGTCTCCCCCTCCGCCACCAGCCGCCGAACGAACTTGCTTCTGCCTGCACGCGCCATCACGCCGCTCCGCCACGCCCCCGTGCAGACCTGCCCCACGCCCGCCGCCTGCTGCCTCGCCACCTCCTCCTCCGGTAATGGGTCGCCTTTTAGCGAGTCGTCTTTTAGCGGATCGTCTTTTGGCAGATCGTCTGTCGTGCGTAGCTCCCGCTCTCGCGCGAGCTGGGCCCACTGATGCAGCGCATCGCACAGCCTGGCGCTGCAGGTCGCAGCGTTCGGTGTCGCGTCGTGGCGTCCGAAGTACCCGCCGAGACGTCGCATGAGCGCGGCATGGTAGTACCGCAAGTGCCGCCGCTCACGCGAGCGCGGCCCCGCAAGGACGTCCGCACACACTTCCGGCAAGTCGAACGGTGCGGCGGCGTTGAGAGCGCTTCCGACGCACGAGAGTCCCCGCACACACCGGCCGTTGAAAAGAATTCGAGCGAAGTCGACGACTAGCGCTGCAGGAGGCCGAGCGTAGGCGAAACGGGTGGTTACCAAGTAAAGGGCTTCGCAGGCGAGGAAAAGTGCTACAGCGAGTTTTATGAGCGTCGCTCGAGAGAAGGACCTTCGCGGCTTCTTCGGATTAGCTGGCCTCTGGAAACGCATGTTCAACTCCCATAAAGAGGACACCAGCACTTCAACTTCCCCGTTGTACGGTTCCCCTTCTACAATCCGCTTCTCACGATTCGCATAGAAATGCTTCTCCTTGGCCTAGAAGCAACTCCCCGTGTAGCCTGACATTTTGAACGTGTCGGGATGAAGGTGGGCAGTTCTAGCTGGTTACAAAATTAGCGAATCTAACGAACAGTTTCGCGAACACATTTGAGATTTTACGTCACATCCAGGTTTCTCCCGCTAAACAAAAAGTGCTCGTTCAGGCGCGCTCGAAACTGCCAGACCAGCGTCCGAACTTGACATCAAGCATGACCGCACACGTGCAATTCATCACGTGCGATTATCAGAATTTTCGTGCACAATCGGAAGCGGTTGGCAATTGGTGGTGACTCGAAAACGTTGGTTTCGTCAGACGCGCCGCGTCAATTCGCGGTTGTCGCACGGCCTGAACGAACTGTGACAGTGCTGCTTGGTCGTCTGTGGTCTATGGACGTCCGCGCGGACGCGCCGCGTTGTGCCCTTGACAGTTGCCGGATACAGCTCGCAAACTTTGCAACAGTGTCGCCTGTTTTTCGAGCCTCGAATGTTGACGAGTCCGAACCCGTTGTACGTTCATGGGATACGGACTTGAGCATTTTTGGGTTGAGTAGCAACCCTATAAAATCGGTTTCACATTTAGGAGCATTGACATGAACAGTAAAACTTTTAAGAATTTAGTTAACAGTTCGGTGCAACTCCAAAATATGAATCCAAATGTCCAAAGTGCTCCATCGCGTCGATAAGTACGGTGGATGGAACAATCAGACCGCATGACAGATTTCAACAAAAAATTATGTATAGTTAAACATCATATAGAATTGCAAATGCCAGGAAACGAGCGCATGTAGGCATTAGTAGTGTTGCAACAGAGATTGATGGGGTGCATGATGACAGCGGAGCTGCCCCGGACACGATGACAATCTCTAATTGCAACACGTAGCCTATAAGCAGCACGCTTGAAGCAAACATAATCCAAATACACCTCGTGCCAGCCACCCCATCTCGTCGATAAATACGGTGGATGGAATAAACATATAGGTACGATAGGATTGTGAGTGCTACGAAACGATTGCATATATGCGTCAATGCTGCAACAGAGATTGATGGGGTGCGCGATAACAACAGAGTTGCCCCAGGCACAATGACAACCTCTAATTGCAACACCTTGCATATAAGCAGCACGTTATAAGCAGAAACAATCCACGCCTTATCACATTTGCAGCCACACGCACTATGCACATAGAGACTAAGAGCAGCAGACACACCTCGAAACATACACTATTTACCAAACCCATGCACACCCCTCTCATGCAAACAACAATCAAGCAGACACATACAGCATCGCAAGTAGCATAATAGTTGGAGTCCCCTATATCCAAATTAGAGAACAGTGGTAATGCCGTGCAATCACAAATTTGTCCCCGCAAGATGTTCCTGTCAAACATAACTTATGCAGTTACTATAGACTATATATGTTTGTGCCTTAGTGGGTACAACTCTCCAGTCTATATTGCATTGTATCTCCCCATTCTAGTCATCTTTTCATTCTGATATGGTATCAGAGTAGGTTAGGTCCCCCCCCTAGCCCGCCCACGCTTCCGCCCCTAGGCCCTAGCCGCCGTCGTGCCTCGCTCCTAGCCGCCCCCCTGGCCGTCGCGCCCGTCCCTAGCCGGCCCCCTCGCCGTCGCGCCTGTCCCTAGCCGGCCCCCTGGCCGTCGCGCCCGTCCCTAGCCGGGCCCCCCCTGGCCGTTCGCGCCTGTCCCTAGCCGCCCCCCTGGCCGTTCGCGCCCGCCCCTTGCTGGCCCCCTGGCCATACACGCCCGTCCCTAGCCGCCCCCCTGGCCGTCGCGCCCGCCCCTAGCTGGCCCCCTTGCCATCGCGCCCGCCCCTAGACGGCCCCCTGGCCGTACTCGCCCGCCCCTAGCTGGCCTCCTGGCCATTCGCGCCCGCCCCTAGCCGGCCCCCTGGCAGTTTGCGCCCGCCCCTAGCTGGCCCCTGGCCGTCGCGCCTGCTTCTAGCCGGCCCCCTGGCCGTCGCGCCCGCTTCTAACCGCCCCCTACCCCCCCCTGGCCGTACACGGCCGCCCCTAGCCGTCGCGCCTGGCCCTAGCCGCCGTTGTGGCTGTTTCTAGCCCCGTCACGCCTGCTCCTAGTCGCGGCCGCCCCTAGCTGCCGTTGCGGACGTTTCCAGCTGTCTCACGGCCGCCCCTCGTCGTCGCGGCCGCCATTAGCCGCCGTCGCTGCCGTCTCCAGCCGCCTCACGGTCGCTCCTGCCGTCGCGGCCGCCCCTAGATGCCGTCGCGGCTGTCCCTGGCCGTTGTCGCGGCCGTGTCTACTCGCCGTCACGGCCGGCTCCACTCACCGTCGCACCAGCTCCTAGCCAGCCCCAGTTGCCGCCGTTTGCTGGCCCCTCGCGTCCGCCGCCCCCCGGCCCACCCCTACATTCGCGTCGTCGCCAGCCCGCCGCCGCCTCGGGTTCGGCCCATTCTTCCCAATCAGCACCGCCCTGCAAACCCGCGGTACCGTACTGCACAGCTTTGTACCACACTTCACCACTTTGCACCGCACTGCACCGCTTTGTACCGCATTGAACCGCTTTGCACCGCACTACACCGCACTGCATCGCATTGCACCGCACTGCACCGCACTGTGCTGCACTGCACCGTCCTGCACCGCTCTACACTGCCCTCTATTGTCCCTGATGGCAGAGGTGCTTCGCTTTGACGCTGAGGGCCAGCCGATTGAGTTTGATGCGTGGCTTGCTGACCTTCGTCGCCACCTCACTGGTCAGCGGCATGATGGCCACTTGCTGTCTGTCCATCTTGACGATACCCTACCCTGCCCTGACCCCTCCGCTGCACTGTCTTCTGACCCCTAGTCCGCTGAGCGTGAGTCCGCTGCGGCCGCTGCCCTTGCTCGCTCTGTCTGGCTGTCCCGTGACGCTGTCGCACAGCTGGCTATTAGCAATGCCCTCCCCCTGTCCGAGCGACCTCGCTTCAGGTCCATCACCACTGCCCAGGCTTTCCTCGATGCTGTTGTCCAGCGCTATTCCACCCCGCCTGCTGCCTCGGTAGGTCATCTGATCCTCCCCATGCTCTTCCCTGACCTTGCGTCGTTCCCCACTGTCGCCGACCTGGCCGCTCACCTGCGCACTACAGACGAGACCTGGCGTGCTGCCTGCACTGCCACACAGCTTCTAGGCCACCAGCCGCCCCTCACCTCTACTCTCTACCTGCTAGCCACCCGCCTCCCTGACCGTCTTGCCACTGCCCGTGACCACTTCCTTAGTGTCCACCCCGCAGACCTCACCCTCACTGACTTTGTTGACACCCTGTCCGCTATAGAGGCCCGCCACCGCTCTATCGCTCAGACCAGCGGTACTGTGCCGGTCCCTATCTTTCAGGGTTGCGCCCCCGCTTAGTGCACCTTCTCCGACGGTTCTGCTGCTGTGGCTGAGACTGCCGCTGCAGCACAGGTCCGTCCGGAGAAGGGTCGCTGCCCCAAGGCTGGGCATGGCGGTGGGGGTGGGGGTGCAGGTGTAGGTTGTGCTGGAGCTGGGTCTCTTGGTGGTGGTGCGGATGAGGGGACCCTGACAGGTGCAACCGAGCAGCCGTCTCAGCAGCCGCCGGTGTTGCAGCCGGACTCGCGTCAGCCGCAGCAGTCGCAGCAGCCGCAGCAGTTGCAGCAGCCACAGCAGTCGCAGCAGCAGCAGAGACGGGCGAGTGGTCTCCCCCCCGGATGGCCTGGCGCTGGTGGTAGCGCTGGACGTAGTGGTGGTGCGCGTGGTGGGCTGCCGGGTGGTGGTTCGGGTGACGCGCGCTGTCAGTACCTGCTCCAGACCGGTCCTCGCCGTGGCTTCGTTGCGGTAAGATCGGTCACACCTCCGTCCGCTGCTTCCATCACCTGGACGACCTGTTTCGTCGGCCCGTCGCTCGAGCTCCCAGATTGGCACAGCTTGCTTCGTCGTAGGGTTCAGATTTTTGATATGGATATGGATGAGATTGTTACTGCTCTGCATGTGATGTATGCTGATGACTCTAGTGTGCTTCCGTCTTATTACCCCTTGTTGCGTACTGTAGGTGTGCCTTGCTTAGACTCCCCTGCTGCGTCACGCGTAGGATCCCCTGCTTTGTTTAGCCCTGGTGGTTCCGTCGCTGCTTCGCCTCCGGCCGCCGCTGCTGCGTTCTCCTTCACCCTCGACTCTAGCGCTTCCCGGTGCTTCTTCCGCGACTCCACCACGTTGACACCACTTCCTGTCCCTGCCGCAGTCTCTCTTGCTGACCCCTCCTTACGCCCTGTAGTCGCCCGCAGTTCCACCACCCTCCCCTGCCCGGCGGTTCCTTCGGGCTCGCTCACAGGACTGCACATCCCCTCGTTCTCCAGGAACCTAGTGGGTGTCGGCTGCCTTCAGGACGCGTCACCACTACGTTCCCTGGTCACGAGCGGTACGCTGTCTATACCGAGGCCGCCACTGGTGCCCCCCTGTCCACGTTCCCCCGGGACCCGGTGTCCGGTCATTTCACACTGGACACGGTGACCCCCTCGGCTAGGACCCCCCCTCAGGTGGCTGCGTCTCCTCCGGTTGCTGCTACCTGCTCCTGTCGGTCTCTCACCTACCCGACTCTTCTCTGGCACCACCGCCTAGGTCACCCTGCGCTCCCGCGTCTGCGTCACATGTCACAGCACGGTCTCGTCGTAGGCCTCCCGAGGTCGTTCCCCAAGTTTTCCTCCTCCCCAGCCCCACCGTGCACGCCCTGTTTCGAGGGCCGGCTCCGCCGTGCCCCTCACTCCTCCTTGTTCCCCCTACCGCAGCACCGCTACAGACTGTGCACATGGACGTCTGGGGCCCCGCCCCCGTCCATGGGCCGCGTCGAGAGCGCTACTTCCTAGTGCTTGTCGACGACTACATGCGCTACACCACGGTGTTTCCCCTGGAGCGGAGGGCCGACGTGCCTGACGTTCTCATCCCGTGGCTTGTCACTGCGCATGTCCACCGCGGTCTCCCTGTCTTGCACCTCCACTCCGACCGTGGTGGCGAGTTTGCCTCTGGTGTCCTTGGTC